CCAACTGCAGTTTAAGTCCTGGACCCGATGTCTTGAAATTCATGCTGAGCACGTGTGCATGCATGGCCAAGATCCTGGGAGGGGAATGGAGGAGAAGGGATTGCATTATGGACATCCCCTGGGGAGATAATTTCTCACTTTCCCTCTCACTGTGTCTGTCTCACTTTCTCTCTCTCTCTCTCTCTCCCCCCAGTGAGTGCCCTAAGGCAAAACCTCTACAAAAACTAAGTAGGTAAATAAATAAAAGAATACCAAACACAGAAAAAAAAACATTGCATGATCTTATATGTGAAATCTAAAAAAGTCAAATACATGGGGGACAAAGAGTAGAACTGTCATCATCGGGGGTGGTGATGCAGGGAAAATGGAAAGATAATGGTCAAAGAATTAAAAAGTAATAATTATGTAAAATGACTAAGTCTTGAGATCTAACGTATAGCATGAAGACTATAATTAACAATACTGAAGGAGCTGGCAGGTGGCGCAGTGGTTAAGGCACTGGATTGCCACATGACTGACCATGATTCAAGTATTGGACAAGGTGGCTTTGCTTTCTCACTTTCCCTCTCTCTCTGTCTCTCTCTGGTCAAATTTTAAAAAATAAAACAATGAGAATGATTAATAAAATTAAATAATTTAAAAACATACACTGTATTATATCCTGAAAATTTGCTCTCATTACACACACAAAGCGGTAACTCCGAGAGAAGATGGATATGTTCATCTGTTTGACTATACTAATCATTTACATACGTTGTACACATTAAATAAATGCATATATGCATTTTATTATAAATAAACATATAATATGTAATAAAGCTGGATTTTGATCCTAGAAATCTGACTCAAAAGAGCCCATGTGGGGCCAGCAGATGGCGTGGTTGTTAAGGGCGCCAGACTCCCACATGGCCAACCATGGTTCAAGTCCTGGACCTGGCAGCTTGCTTTCTCACTTTCCCACTCTCAATCTCTCTCTCTTTGTCCCTCTCTGGTCAAATAAATAAATAAGCAAATAAATAAATAAATGAAACAATCATTTATTTAAAAAAAGAGAGAGAGAGAACCCATGTAAGCCCAGCCCTGTGGCACAGCTGGTAGCAAACTGACCTACAGTGCTAGAAGCCACTGGCTGACTGCAGGTTTGGATCTCCAGGTCGGCTTGAATGCACATCAGGTGCATGCCTGAGACCCTGATGAGCTGGAGGGCCAGGGAATGAAGATCGTGGATGACAAGAACCTGGAGAGAACAATGTACAGAGTGAATAAAGAATGTTTAAGCAGTGTAGACCATACATACTGAAGAGACAGGGAAGGCAGAAATAGCTCCATGATGTTTGTATCTCTTACTGTCTCCTAAGTACGTTCATAGTCATTACCTCCCTTGATCCGCAACCACCAGTACAGTGGGTCAGACAGGCAGGAGTTCCTAGTTCAGGAACACAAACAGCTGGATGAATAATAATGATCACTGCCATTCACTGAACATCCACTCTGTTCCATACTGTTTACACAGTACTCCGATCTGCTCATGGAATCAGTACACTAGAGCCAGAGAATAACTTACAGATAGCTCGTCAAGTCTGAGCCGTGCCTTTGCACAGGAGGAAGTAAGTAGCAGAAATGGGATTAAAAAGTAAGTTCTTCTCCCTCCTCTGCTGCCGCAATCCACTGAAACCACCAAAAGAGAAGAAAAATACCCTTGACATCCCCATCACTTATTCTCACTCGGCAACCTCACCATCTTCCCCAATATCTATAAACAGACAGACACAGTCACACACAGAGGAAAGGCCCACTGGGAGTTAAAGATGAGGAATGTGCTGGTCCTTCAGTGAGTTTCCTCGCCTCTGTCCTTGGCTACTGGCCCAGCTCAGCATATGTGGTATCCAGGCAAATACTTTCCTTTCTTCCTTACAGAGGAAAACTGAGGTCAAAGAAAGGAAACAGAAATAGAGTCCCCAGGGGAAAACTGAGCCTTGGCAGGAGTTTCAGGATAATTGTAGGAACAACGTAATGTGATCTAGAAAATCCATGAACCTAGACAGAGCACTGTAGGCTGTGACCTTAAGCTAGTCACTTAACCTATCTAAGTCTCAACGTACACATCTGTTTGAAAAGATCCTTTTCATAATAAAGTTTTTTATATTAATTAGTCAATACATATCAACTAGTTTTGATAGCTGAAACACCTGAAATATCGAATATCCTTGAAGAGACTGCCATCTTTTTGTTCTTAATAATAATAATAGCTAATGTTATTATGTACTTAACAGTGTCAAGCATCGTGTTGATACTAAGGACTTACAAGCATGACCAATCTACAGGGACTTAATTGTCTCCACAGTTATGGAAGGAGCCATTATTATTATCACCAATTTATAGATGAGAAAACTGAAACCAGAGAGATTAAGTAACTTGCCCAAGGCTACCTGACTAATAAATAGTAGTTCTAGCTTCTAACAACCATCTTAACCAGTCTCCCACGGTTGGTAACTTTAGACCTAAGGAAATAATGAAAACAGGCAGAATATTTTTTGTATGCATGTATGAATTTCTTTAGTGTTTCTGAGATGCATGGAATTTACATCTTTAAATGAGATGGCTCTACTTTCTGAAATTATTTCTATTGTTCATTGATTAATGAGTCATGAGGAGAGAATGGGAGGGCTGTTGTGAAGAGCTTAGAATAGCACCTGATACCTAGAAGGGCCTCGATTAGTGTCTATTGCTCTACCGATGTGAGTCACTGGAAAACGCATGAACATGGGCATCAGAAACATCTGCGTTCAAATCCCACTTAGCTGTGTGGCTCTCAGGAAATACAACAAATGTAACAAAGTCTTCCCATTCTGTACCACCAAGTTATGTATGCGACAGCAGGCAGCAAGAAAATTATCTCAACTTAGGAGTACGTTTTTGTTTTGTTTTTTGTTTTCCTTGAGAGGTTTTTGCTATAGGGTGTGTGCGCTCGCCAGAAAGAGAGAGACAGAGATAGAAAGGGAGAAATCACCCACCCCAAGGGGGGATGGCCACTCCACAATCTCTTCTTCTCCATTCTCCTCTCAGGATCTTGGGCACTCACACACACGTGCCCGGCGTGAGTTTAAACCACCGGGTCTGGGACTCGAACTGTGGTTGACTACATGGGAGTCCAATGACATAGCCATTATGCCATCTGCTGGTCCCAGTACTTTTTTTTTTTAATTTGATTGTTTTGGCATTGTCGCTTAGATAACGTAGAAGCCAACTTCAGCCCATCCCAGGCCAGACTGTCTCTAATTCTGGACTACCCAAAGAGGAACTGATGAACACTTACTGCATCCAATTCTTTGGACTGGAGTAAGTTCAGTTTCAAGGATGTCGGCCACCATGAAACCTTTAATGTTGAGCAGTACTTAGTGGACGGAGCACTAAACTGGGAGCCAGGGCAACTGGATTCTGATCACAGATCATTCACTCCTGTTCTCTGGATCTTGGTTTCTTCCTTTGCCACTGAAGAACATAGAAAAAAATGACCCCTAAAGTACTTTGCGGTTTTTATATTTGGTAACTTCTGTGCCCACAAAAGCCTTAGAAATTAGATGGGATCTCAGCATTTACTGAATTTCCTCCCTTGTAAAATGGGAGTAATAATAGTAAAGGCATGGGTACAGGCAGTCCATAGAACAGCGGCAGCACAGATAACCCCTCCGTAAATGGTAGCTAATAATGGTGGTGTGTGCTGTAACAGATACCCCTCTCCCTTACTCTCGCTCTACTTTTCAACAAGACTGTAGCAAATTATCCCACTTTATAAACAAGAAAACAGAACTTAAAGACACTAAGCAATTTTCCCCAAAATCACTCAGTAAATAAATAGGAGTGACTCTGTGCTCATAATGAAAGCAAGAAACTCCCCCAAGATAAATCACTCCAACTCATATTTGGTGGGGAAATTCCCAATTCCCAGCTTTAGATCCACTGGCCCAGTCATGGTGGAAATGGGTATTCTCACCTCCTTTCAGGACTATTATGTACAGAAGATCCTTCTCAATAAAACATCTTGTAAATGACATCCTTCCATGGACTGGGAGAAGGGAGATATGGTCCAAAATGCATAAGCAGAAACTTTGAAAACAACCAAAAAAGACCCAGTGGCTGGAGCCAGCCATTGGCGTGGTGGTTAAGATGGTTGGATCCCACACAACCAACCATGTGTTTCAAGTCCTGGACCCAGCAGCTTGAAAAACACACTGGGTGTGTATGCATACCCAAAATCCTGAGAGGAGGATGGAGGAAAGAGATTCTGGTGTGGCCATGCCCCTGGTGGGTACATTCTCACTTTCCCTTTTTCTCTCTCTCTCTGTCTTTCTCTAGTAAGTGCACATGCTCTGTGGCAAATTAAAAAAAGAAAGAAAGAAAGAAAGAGAGAAAGAAAGGAAAGAAAAGAAAAGAAAAAGAAAAGAAAGAAAGAAGAAAGAAAGAGAGAGAGAAAAGAAAGAAGAGAAGAGAGGAGAGGAGAAAGGAGAGGAGAGGAGAGGAGAGAAAAGGGAAAGGGAAAGGGGAAAGGGAAAGGAAAAGGGAAAGGAAAAGGAAAAGGAAAAGGGAAAGGGAAGGAAAGAAAAGGAAAAGAAAAGGAAAAGAAAAGAAAAGAAAAGAAAAGAAAAGAAAAGAAAAGAAAAGAAAGGAAAAAAGAAAAGAAAAAGATCCAGTGGCTTTAGAGCGTGCCCTGGCTGCCCCTCCTCCTTTCCCCCCAAGGGAACTGCTTCCTGCTCTCTGGTGAGGACCCATGTACTGGCAGGTGAGGGAAGGATGCCAAAAGAGGAAGAGGTTTTAGTTCAGTCTGGATGCAAGTACAGCGAGGGTGAGACAGAGAGAGAGAGAGACTCAAGTTTCCGGAGGCTATTTCAGTTTTCCTTTTCGTTTTATGCAATTTCAGTATATCAGCCAGTGCTTGACTGTTGTTCTGGAAACTCCCCTTGTGGGGGGTGCTCCCTCTACTGGCCCTGACTCCCTATAAAGGGCCAGCCCAAGTTGCAGAGGAGCCTGCAGAGGAGCCTGAGACCAACACAGTCCTGCACAAAGCCTCTGCCCACAGACACCATGAAGACCTCTGCGGTTGTCCTCGTTGTCATCCTCACTGCTGCTGCCCTCTGCAGTCCTGCATCTGCCTCCCCATGTAAGTCCAGGTCCTGACCACCACAATCCAAGGAGTCGGACCCTCTGCCTAGAATGCCTACCCCATCCCATAGGCTGTCCAGACCTTGCTCTCTTTTCTGCTGTAACATGTATATGGTCTGAGCTCCATTACATTCTCTTTTCATATATAATTTATTATTATTATTTTAATTTGCTGTAGGGCATGTGCACTCACCAAAGAGAGGGAGAGAGAAAATAAGAAAGAAAGCTACCGGGTCCAGGACTCAAATCGCAGTCAGTCATGTGGGAGTCCAGCACCTTAACCACCATGCCACCTGCTGTCCCCTCCCTTACATTTTTATGTGCTGTTTTATCCAGATGTCCTGTTGTCCCTGACAGATCTCTAAGCCATGTCATGGGAGGGGCCCCAGATCCACTTTCCTGTGTCTTCAAGCCTCACAGGCACTCACTGAGTACCGGATATTAGTAAGCAATGGTGGCTGGAGCTGACCTTGAAACACCACTGACTCAGGCCTGTCACCAGCTGGAATTCTGAAAAACTTCTAATATTTAACTAAAGTCCTCTACAGACAGACAGATTCTATTTCATAAGTGGAAAAAAATAGAACTTGTGAGAGGATTAAAAAGCTGATTAAGTGCCTGCTATGGATCAGGCATGTGCACATCCCTTTATACATACCATCTTACTTAATACAACTACTCTTTGAGTAGCTCTCTTTGACTTATAGATGGGGAAACAGAGGCCTGGAGAGGTTAAGTAGCTTGCCCAAGGGCACACAGATACGAAGTGGCAAACTAGTATTCAAACCCAGTTCCATCTGGCTAGGAAGATAAACATTACTGCTTTAAGAAACGATGGCAACTGATGCTTCCCAGCATCATCTTGAATTAGCTCACAAGTTTCTGATTCACGGCTGGCCCTATACCACAGCAAGTAATAGCAAGCTGGACTCCACATAGCCAACTGAGGTTCAAATCCTGGCTTCAGTGACTTGAAAATATGGTAGGCACACATGTATGTGCATGTCCAAAATCCTGACAGGAGAGGAAAATGATTGACAATAGCATGACCATGTCTCATTGGAGGGGAGGATGTTTTCTTGCTCTCTCGCTCTCTCCCTCTCTCTCTGTGATAAGTTTACATGCCCTAAGTTTACATGCCCTCTGGCAATTAAAAGGATTTTTTTGGTCACCCCAGTTTATCCAGGGGCTCCTAAGATACAATAAACACCTTCAGGCCCTCTTTTACAATCTTGGCTTGAGTTCTAGAAGCTCTCCAAACCCATCCTGGGTCTCAATGATATCTGAACAAACTAAGTTTTTTTGGCTGTTATTTTAATTATTATTTTATTTCATTCTATTAATCATTATATTGCTATTTTTTCATTTGACCAGAGAGAGAGGCAAAGAGGGAAAATAAAAAGCAAGCTACCAGGTCCAGGATTTGAACTCTGATTTGCCATGTGGGAGTCCAGCGCCTTAAAGACTACATCACCTGCTGACCCTGACAAACTGAGTTTTGAATTCATTGAGGATCCTGGAAGGGCAAGAATAGGGCAGAGGGCTCAGGAGGAGGCTTAGCATGTCCAAAGAGCCAAGGGCAAGGGGCTGTGGTATAAAGAAAAAGATACAAGCTGGGCTCAAGGATTATATAAATTGGAGAGATCCTCTCAGTCCTTTGTGGGAATCCCAACTCTGCCACCAAGTGTTCATGGACAAGTGACCTTACCTCTCTGAGCATCAGTTCTTGCCAAGGAGGATAATAATCCTTTCAAGATAATTGGGCTGGGGCCGGCAAGTGGCGTGGTGGTTAAGGGTGCTGGACTCCCACATGGCCGACTGTGGTTCAAATCCCAGACCTGGCAGCTTAATTTCCTCATTTTCTCTCTCTGTCTTTCTCACTCTGTTCCTCTCTGGTCAAAATAAATTAAGTAAATAAATAAATAAACGTCAAATAATTCTTTAAAAAAAAAAAAAAAGATAATTGGGCTGGATGGAGCAGTGACACATGATGCTCTGTGAAGAAATTCCACACAGAAAGGTGTCAGGTTTGTGTCCAGAGACCTCCCTGAGTATGCTGGGCACTTGTGTGTCCATATCCAGGCTGGCTAAAGCTAGGGGTGGATCATGGCATCAAGATCCAGTTAGGGGTGTTGTGTTTCTGTCTGTCTGCCACTCTTGCACAAGGAAGAAATACATTTAAAATTTGGGGGGACCAGCCTATGGCATGGTGGTTAAAGTGGACAGATCCCACCTAGCTGACTATGCCGTTCGAGTCCTAGACCCAATGGTTTGAGAAACATGCTGGGGACATGTGTGCTCAAAATCTCAAAAGGAGGAAGAAATGGAGACAAGATTATGGCATGAACATCCCCTATGGGGCGGGGGGTGCTTTCTCACTGCCTCCATCACCCCCAACCCTATCTTTCTCTGGCAAGCTTACATGGCCTCTGGAAAAAAATTTCTTTAAAAACACAAAAAATATTTAGGGGGCCAGACAGCGGTGCAGCAGAAAAACATGATGTTCTTTCTGTAAGGCTGGCTGACTCACATGGGAAGGTTGCTAATTCGTGTCCATAGACCTCCCTCAGTAAACCAGGCACTCACAAGCCCATGATCTGTATGACTGAAGCTGGAAGTGAATTGTGGTGTCGAGACCCTGTCTGGAATGCTTTTTCTCTGTCTCTGCTTCT